GAGTCTAAGGAAGGTGATTCATTCTAAAACATGTAATCCATATTTGTTCAGTCTTCTTGTAATTTCACTGTCATGAATTGTAAGATTTAGCATGCTAACTGAGGCCTGTAGAGTCTATAGCTCTTGGGTTTGTTGCAGTTTCTCTGTGCACGACACAGTCAAACCTCAGGATGAATTTGCTTAACAACTGTTGTCTGTTCTACTATTTTCTAGGTGCTTTAGGAAATGAATCTGTCAATTAGTCACTTTTTAAATGAAAATTATTAGCCTATCACCATAAAAGTATATTTGCTTCACAAAGCACTTATAAACATATATATGTCTTAGCATTAGTTTTAAAAAGCGGTATCTCATATCTTTATTTCAAGGAATGGTTTGGTCGGGAGCGGTACCACTGCAGGAGAAAGAGACTGTTGGATGACTTCATTAAACGTAAAGACAGGGTTCCATAAAAGAAAGGAGAGATAGTACAAAGCAAAGAAAGGCTGGTAGCATGTCAATGCATCAAATGTAGATCTTGGAAATGAAACTCATAGCAAAGACCTCCTTGACTCCTGGACAGTGGTTGTTGATCAGTGGTCATGACAATTTACATATTAATGATTAAGGAACTGATCGCACCGTTCATTGTTCATTCAGTGGGCTAGTTTCAGGCATTATGCAAATGTACTGTTTATTATGTTGGGGAAACCTGCAGTCAGCTGAGACTGAGGAAGTCACTTGGATGAGTGACGAAATGTTTCTCCCACTGAAAACACTACATCCAGATGAACAGAATCAACCTTTTGGGGTTTAATTAGCAGTCTTGACAATTGAGCATGCATCAAGGCTGCTGATGATCAGATAATCAAGTGCATTTGATCAGCAGCACCTGGCTACTACTCTGACCTGTGTGATGCTTGTTTTTTATTCACATGACAGTGTAAACACATATACACTAAGAAGCTTTAAAAAGCTTCTTAGTGTTGGGCCTTCATAACAGCTTAAGTGCATGCAGACATCAATTTTATAGGCTTCCTCAAATCTACAACAAGGTTAAAAACTATTCTTCTATAACATGGGTATGTAATAAGAAGTTACGGGGGTGTAGCTCAAGAATATCCTCAACAAAAGGTCTGGAAAGTAACATATTCAGTATAATTCAATGCAATATATTCCTAAGTAGTCTAATAGTTTTAACCCAACCCTTCTTGCTCTGAATCAGGGGCGATTTTAGCCCAGTTTTGGAGGTGCTTCAGCCAGGGGCGATTTTAGCCCAGTTTTGGAGGTGCTTCAGCACCCCCAAAATGAATCAAAGCACCCCCAAAGATGTCTTACTTTTTTTGAAAATATTTGCTGTTTGTGGGACACACTACTAAAA